CTGTTGACGATATTTATTATTATATAAGTTTCTACTTTTTTTCATTATTCCCTCAATAATATTTTATTGGGGTCTTTTTTACTTTTTTTATTATTGTTTTTTCTAGTATCTTATGAGTAATTTTATCGTAATCTTTATTTTACTACTTTTGCTTGATTTTTATGTCTATTTTACCTTTTTAGTAAACTAAAGCCTTTAGTTTTTTTTGGCTTTTTTTTTTACGTGAATTGTTTTTATAAACCTTCTCACCACTTTTTTATTCTTTATTATTTTCTTATTTTAGGATAGATGAGTTTCGTAATTGGTTTATTAATTTTCCATCACTGTGCCTGTGTGCATTATTCACATGAAAATTTCACTTAGTGCTCTATAATTTTGTTGCTTTGTTTGCTGTATATTTGTTTTTGAAGAATATAAGATTCTTTTAATGCATTATTTGTTTTATTTTCCTGTATAGTTTTGACAAATATATATTTTAGTCTGGTTCTAAATGTTATGCGGAGCGAATTTTAACACTTAGCTGCATCATTTTTCATATTTATGTAAGCTATAATATCCTCTTTATGTTAGAAAATTATTGTAGTCATATCAAAGGTATATTCGAGCGAATAATTAAACAAGCGTTGCCAGAAGGGGATGATATCGAGTCTTTTCTTTATGAATGAGCATGGCGATGTCATCATTGAGATGCAATTTCTAGAAAAAATACCACGTACTACCTTGGACAACTTTTGGAGTACATATGTTGTTCCACTTCGTTTCCTTGAAGAACTTCCCTCTGTTGTGTTGTTTAACAATCTGATCTTTACGCATATTCAACGCAACGGCGTTATACTCCTGGCGACTTGCTGTCGAGAAGGGTCCGCCTTAATTTCATTGGAGGTTTTGAGTCTTATTGCCAAAGTCCTAAATGTATACCTCAAGAGCCTTTCTGAGGCCACGTTACGCAATAACTTCTCCTTAGTTTACCAGCTGCTACAGGAGCTTCTGGATTACGGATACCCTTTCCAGACTGAAATTTTCGCGCTAGAGGAGCTTGTCCCGAGACCCACATTAGAAAACAAGGTTCTCTCGATCTTAGAAAGCCCTATTTTCGGCAAGGTTGTTGGCAACACCACTGCGACCACCACTTCGGGGGCGTGGCGCTTTTCGCAGCAGTGCCGTCGGCCGTGGCGTGGTCCTTCCACTAAGAATACCGCGAATGAAATCCTTTTTGATGTGGTTGAGCGGTTAGACTATATTATGGACGCCGAGGGCCGCATGATCAAGGCCTCAGTGCGGGGTTCCATTGAAGTCAACTGCCGCTTGAACGGCGTACCGGACATCCAGCTTCGTCTTGTTAACGCAGATGCCGTCGATGATGCCGGATTTCACCGTTGCGTTCAGCATCTGAAACGTCGTGGGGACTACACCCTAAGTTTTGTGCTGCCGGATAGTAAGTTCACCTTGATGCAGTACACCTGCCGTCCGCAGTCGATGCCGGCGCTCCCAGCACCACCTTTCTATGTCACCCCACAGGTTAGTTTTCATGCTACGGGGGGTCGTTTCAACTGTATGGTTGGGATTCGCGGTGGCCCTGCACACTCCCGGAATCAGGAAAGGGAAGTTCAGGATCTGAAGGTGGTGCTTATGCTACCACCGCGCACGACTTCCCTAACGGTGACCAACTGCACGTTGGGAAGCACAAGCTTTGAGCGCCTCCGTAGCGTATTGACGTGGTCTGTGGGCAGCGTGAGACGGCACCCTGCTTCACTTCAGGGGGAATTTAGTCTTGAATCTCCGGAGATGCGGGCCACAGTGGAGCAGTTGGAGTCCTTGAAGGACGGCACAAAGGTGGGCAGCAAACCTGAGGGTCCAATGCCATACGTAGGGGCAAACGTGCTAATCAGTTTTCACATCCCGAACTATTCTGTAAGTGGTTTACGTGTGGAATCTGTTCACATTCTTAACGAAATCGGTAAGCCTTATAAAGGAGTCAAGTACATGACAGAAGGGGGAAATTTTCTGATCCGTGGTATTTAGGGCTTCGATTTAGCAGTTGCTGTTGTACGTGGTAATGGGTTGCATCTGTGTGTACTCCTTTTTCTATTAGCTCACTCAAATGGATCCGAAATTTTCTCAAAGGGTTTAAAGTCTAACATTGCGTATCCGGTTTGTATCATGATTATCAATTATTCCCTTGAATGAGCGGTACTTTTTGATAGCCCAATATATATATATCTGTATAAGCTCTCAAAGTTCCACATATTTCAGCATAGTGTTTATCATGAGTTTCACACCATTATTCTGTCTGGTTCAAAAAAACGTTGCTATGGCAAAAAGGTGCATATTTACGTTGTACACTATTATATATGTATATATATGTATAATTTTTTCTTTAAGACTTCACCAAGTTATTTAAAATATCCCGAGGTAGTTATTCAGGGAAGTAGACACAAAATACAAAACTAAGGGGTAATGTCGAGTAAAGGAGCGAATCGTGCGGTATCCGATGAATTTGAGCGCTATGAAAAGCTCATAGGTGATAAGAAAATAAGGTCAAACATGAGTCTATCGCAGAAAATCGAGATCTACGGTCTGTGGTGTGTGGCCGCCCGAGGAAAGTGCACGCGACCAAAGCCCTCCCGTATGAGACTGGTTGAGTATGGCAAGTGGGCAGCTTGGAAGAAATACGAACATCTTGGCAAAGACAAGGCGCGCAAGATATTTGTAGAGCGTGCCAAGGAGATTCTCGGAAAGTCCAAGCTATAATCAACTATACTTTCTTCACATGTGTTAGTGAGGTGTTGGAGACATTCCTGTTCTGCAGCTATGATAGTGACCCGCTTTTTAAGATGATGTAATGTATTTACTGCATTTTTAATGAGCTGATGTCAGCGATTCTGTAGTTGGGAAGCATTACAATCCCCAAAAATAGTTTAGAATCTGAATCAGACAAAATAAGGGAATATGCAAAAAATTGATCTAATTCAGCTGCAATTGGCCTTGAATTCTTGAAGTATCTCAATTCACGCTACTTCATATATTCTAAGTTGATTGTAGTAAACCAATGAGCGTTAAATCTCAAAATTGTGGGCTGCCTAAAGGTAAGTATTTTAAAAGTTCTGGTGTGGTTTCCCAAGGAAATCAACAGGAAATACCTCATAACAAAGTATCTGCATGACTAACACATTTCATATCTCTCCTTAATAGTTTTCTTTTCAAATCGATAAACAAAGGAACATATCCCAGACCCACGTTAAAAAGGGTAACACCAATACTTCTAATAGAACTAAATCCGATCTTTTTAAAAATATTCATCTTCTCTAAGTAAACGATCTTTGTGTCGACATGGCAGACGGACCGATTCGAACGGAAGAAGCGCGTGATTTAACGCGTGTGGAGCGGGTGGGGGCGCACTCCCACATTCGTGGTCTTGGATTGGATGACACCCTCGAGGCTCGCCGCCTGAGCCAGGGTATGGTAGGGCAAATAGAGGCAAGGCGGGCAGCCGGCGTGGTAGTGCAGATGATCAAGGAAGGCAAGATAGCGGGGCGCTGCGTGCTGTTCGCAGGCGGCCCCGGTACCGGCAAGACCGCCATCGCGATGGCCATGGCGCAGTCTCTCGGTCCGGAAACCCCTTTCACGATGATAGCCGGGAGTGAAATATTCTCGCTGGAGATGTCCAAGACGGAGGCCCTCACGCAGGCTTTCCGCCGTAGCATCGGTGTCCGCATCAAGGAGGAGACAGAAATGATTGAGGGTGAGGTGGTCGAGATCACCATTGATCGCCCGTCAACGAATCCTGCCGAGGCGGGAAGTCGAAGTGGGCAACTCGTCTTGAAGACCTCCGACATGGAGTCAATGTTTGACCTTGGTCAGAAAATGATTGAAAGCCTGCAGAAGGAAAAGGTGCAGGTTGGGGATATAATCACCATTGACAAGGCTACTGGTCGCATTAACAAGCTGGGACGCAGTTTTGTGCACAGTAAGGACTTTGATGCGATGTCGTCAAATACGCGTTTTGTGCAGACGCCCGAAGGCGAGCTCTCGAAGCGAAAGGAGGTTGTCCACACTGTCACGCTGCATGAGGTAGATGTGATTAACTCCCGCCAGCAGGGCTTTTTGGCTCTCTTCGCAGGGGACACGGGTGAAATCAAGACCGAGGTGCGAGAGCAGATCGATCAACGCGTGGCGGAGTGGCGCGAGGAGGGCAAGGGCGAAATTGTTCCTGGTGTTCTTTTTATTGATGAGGTCCATATGCTGGATATCGAGTGCTTTTCGTGGCTCAACCGAGCCTTGGAGAGCCCCTTGGCACCAGTAGTGATAGTTGCCTCTAATCGTGGGATCTCACGTATTCGTGGGACGCATTACCGATCCCCTCACGGGATCCCAATTGACCTCTTAGATCGCATGGTCATCATCACAACAAAACCATATTCACAAGAAGAACTCAGGAAGATCATTCAAATTCGCTGTGAGGAGGAAGATGTGGAAATGGAGTCTGATGCTTTAATGCTTCTAACAATGATTGGCAAGAGCACATCGTTGCGCTACGTTCTACAGCTAATCACAACGGCCAATTTGGTGGCTCAAAAGCGCAAGTCCCCAACCGTTTTGGTCGAGGACATTCAGAAGGTGTATCAACTTTTCATTGATTTGCAGCGTAGTGTGGAGCTATTGCAAGAGCAAGAAAAAGATTTCTTATTTGGTGAGGATGACGTGAATGTAGAGAACTTCGCCCCTCTAAAGTGTAACAACAATAGTGGTGATACCAATGAAGAGGAAATAGTGAGTTAATAACCCTTGAGGAATGACTGAGAGGGCAAAGAAGGGAATTAGATACAAGAGGTCCAGTAATCTGAAGGGAAAAAGAATGTCATTTGATTCTATCAGAATCGATTCCAACATTGCTTTTAGCCTTTTGATAGGGAAACTCAATCTGCTACTTTTGGTACCTCTTGTGAATACTGAATCTATGTTATTATCATCCCTTTTCCTCCTTGTCGATTTTCAATTTTCCTTGGTGAATTTTATCCATTTCATTAACGTGCAAGTTTTCTCATGATTGGGCTACCACTAAAGCTATTCTAACAGCTTTTCAATGATAGGCTGTGATTATTCAAGTAAGATTGTAAAGATTAATTTCCCTTTAAGAGTTGTTTGAATCGAAAGAATATTTTTTTTCATGAAGGTTTAGGTGTGGAATCCGTAATTTGGGTTTACTTCACCCTCTATTTCTTTCCTTTCTACATCTCTTCGTCCTGTTGTCATGATTTCATATATAAGGAAGGACCTAAATATTACAAGTCACAATTTTAACAATGCCCTTTTCATCGTGTATTTACCCTTTATCACGTTTTATCAATTGGTTTAGCTGTCGCCATAGCCGTTTTCCATTTCCAGCAGTGATACTGCAGCTGTCTAGAAGTGTCGCAGACCAGTATCTCGCACAACTTCCTCTCTCACCTCATCCACAACTCTCGGCATTGTCTCTTCTCCGTCTTTGCCACATGCTGTCCTCCTCGGGCGAGGGCTACTGTCAGCATGGCTTTAAATGGATTAGCCCAGCTAAGAAGTCATTTATGAATCCTTTTTCTCGTCTTGTGTGCGATCCAGTCCCTTTCAGGAGTCTCCTTTTGGGGCATAAATGTGCCGAGGCTCGACCAACTGAGATCGCAAAGCTTGGTGCCCTTTGGGAATATGCCATAACAAGCCATCAGATACCCTTGTCCACTTCCCTGTCGGAGTTCTTACAATGCTTGAAGCCACTTTGCCCTCTTTTTATTTACATCAACAGCCCTTCATTGTCGTACTCGTGGCAATTATCTAAGAACCAGGGGAGTGATCTGCTCATGAGTGAGGAGGTTATGCGAAGTCTTATCGTTGGTTGGCAACCCTGGGTTAGACCAGGATTGCGGCGTAAGCTAGCGGCAAATTCGCATAAGTTCTCTTTCTCCATTTTTAAATTGGTTCCACCTTCAGATCGCACTAATGGGATGTATCTTGACACGGTTGAGCTCCAGTGCAAGTGGAAAGCATTACTACATTTAGTGCCACCCCATTTTATCTCCGTGGAATCCCTCAAAGCACGGCTGTTGAACCAAACCACCACCCCGATTCAGAACACTATGAATCGACCAAACCACGATCAGGGTGTGTTCACATCTCTTCAGTGGCAAGATTTCACCCAACAGAGTCCGCTTTTCCATGGCTTGGAATGGTCCCTTGATCAATACAGTTTGCGCCTTGCTTCCTGTGAGGAATGCATTAATGCAGGCTGTAAACCTGATTTGCTACAGGTGTGTTATGGTGCCGCCAATGCAAATGATGACCAGGCGGTTGGTGTGTCAACGCTTCCTCTTCCTCTTCATCAGCGTCCGGTCCTCTTCTACGCGGCACTGGGGCTAATTGCTCAAGCAGTGCCAACTTTCTTCACACCTCTCGATATTGTGCAGCGCCGGTATGCATCACAAAGTAGAGCAGCACTGAAAGAACTGCGAGAGCGATCCGCTTCTCCGGATATCAGTGGTTCCTCTCTAACGGATGAGGAGTTTCAGTGGTTGGAACGCCATTTTTCTCATCTCGAGCCGCTCTTGGACCACCCAGACTTGAGATTCGCGGTGGAGGTAAGAGACGCTGCAGAAGGTGTGCTTGCAGACCAGCCTGCAAGTTTCCAAGCGCGGCTTCCACTAAGTGGAGCCTTGGTGCGGTTGCACACAGACTTTTTCCATCCTAGCCGTGGTGGGGTTGACCCGTACTTTCTTTACCAGTTCCACAGTTTGCCTTTTACGAAGCAATTGGATCCAGTGGGCCCATGTGGTCTGGACACTTCGAGTTCGACACCACGTTGTAGATATGAAGTGCGTCTTTGTGGAGTTTGCACGCCTTCTTCTTCTGCTTCGATGGAGCCCATCCACAAGTTACTTTCGGAATCCCCCTCGCATCGGTTCCCTCCGTGTGTAGTCGTCGATGTAATCGGCATGTACGGTCCTTCAGCTGCCGTTTCCAATCCTTCCTGCCGTGACAAGCAAGGTGGAGAGGGTTCCCGATCGACGGAGCTGGTGCTTGGGATCTGCAGCGGATCTCCTTCGATCGCGCCTTCGTTTGAACTATTCGGCAGTGAGGTTTCGGCCCAAGCACCACTTTTTGGGGTTGTGCATATCTTCACTTTTCGCATTTCCAACAGTTCAACCGAGTGGTGGTGTGACCTCCCTCCGCCGGTTCTTAATCTTCTGAGAAGTGAGGGTGTATTAAAGCTGCTCCTTGCTAGTTTCACAAAACCCCTGACCCCCACTGGCTGCAGTTACGAAAAGGGTGAATCCTTTGTTAGAAATTTGCGCTGGCCGAAATCCTTTGGCAGCCTTGGGGATTTGGTTATGCTAACCCAGTTCACCGGCTACCCTATAAACGGCAACGAATTTTCCATCGAACTCCTCAAGACACTTTTGATGCGGCGACTTGGCGTGTCGTTGCACCTTGCTGCAACTGATACCCAATTCCCGAATACCACTTTTAGAGATGTAGCGGAGGCAACTGCCATGGCGCACGCACTTTTTCTTACCATTCAATGTGACACTCATGACTTTTGTTTGCTTTACTACGGGTCCTCTGTACCGGATTCATCGGTTCCAAACGCAGAGAAATGTGGGAATCCGTTCTGCAGATCATGGATCAACTTTGTACGCAGTAGTTCTTCATATCGTCTTGATCACTCCTTGACAGTTCGACTTCACAGGTACCTCTGCAAGTGGTTCCCCGGTTTGAATTTGGTAGGAGGTAGTCTTACTATGCATCCAGGAAAATCTTCGCTCAGAGACGAGGCCATGGAGTGCATTAAGATGCCAGCTCACATTTTCACTCTTCCCTTGCATCGTAAGAAAGAGCTACTGATGGAAATGGCTTTTTTATATGGCCCCGAGACTTTGCCCCAGTTATCCTCTTTGGGCTCTCCAGGAAGAGTATCACAGTTGTCTTCTGCATCCACAGAAAAGGAAAGTTTGCCTGCCTTAATTTCTCGCACGACAGGGACTGCGCACAACTTATCCCCGGAATCTGTTGTACCACTCAATGAGAGGGAGCATGGTATTGAACTTAAATTAAAATGGGATTGCATACATTCCCTTGAGAGAGAGAAAATGCGCATGCTAGGGAAGGAAGTGAAGCGCGAAAGTCCCATGAGGCATGCCGAATGCAAGGAACGCGACGAAATTAAAGTCAATTTAAGCCAAGAATCTGAGTGTAGCATTTCCCCATCATCTTCTCAAACCGCTAATGACAACGACTTTCTTAGTGAGCTTTTGGCATCGTCTTCTCAATCATCTTCTCAGCAAGGAGCCGCTTTTGATTCCTCAAAATCGTTACCTTGCCCAAATAATCAGCTGGATAAGTCACACACAAGTGCCGATGAGGTGACTGCAGTTTCTTCGGATCAAGGCTACACAACTGCTACGGGCCTCATCAACGAGAAGCATACCAGTCAATTTCAGCGGTTGATAGAAAATGGGCTGGTGATGCCATCCCCGTCGCCGCAGCTGGTTCCAAGTCTGGGAACGGCGGCGGCATCTACTTCACCCAGTCTTCGTAGCGAGACCGGGAGTGGACTTGGTGGGAGTGTATCACATCCTCCGCGACGTTTTCCATTTCCCCCAAGCCCCCTTTCAGAGGGTCTTTCTTCTACCCACATAGCAGCCGGCAGTGGCTATGGTAAACCGACAGTCGGCTTTCGTGTTGGGGACTACAAACCCGTCTTTGACAAGGATAGCGATCCCAAAAGTTGGAGGAAGAAGGGCCACTCTTCTTACCACAGGAGGGATGTGAGCTTCCAGGGCACGTTGAGCGCGTCCCCTCCTTTGCCGGGGATGACGACCCCGCTGGCTTTCCAAGGACCGCCGCAGGGGATTGCTAATCCTACTACCACCACAGTGAAGGCGACGTCGGCGCGCGGCTTCACGACTTTTGAACGGCATAATTCTCAGGCGGCGGGTGGGGATGCCTTCCAGCCTGAGAATGACAGGACGGATGGCAGGCCTAACGCCCTGCCGATGGTGGCTCCTAATTTGAACAGTGAGAAATTACGTTTGCTAATTCAAACAGAAGAGGGAATATCACTACTGAAGGAACTTTTGCGGTAGAATCATGTGATGTGCAAGATCCCTTGTTTTTTTCATCCTTTTAAAAAATTTGCGCACTCATATTTTGTCGTACAATAAATGTTAGTTTGCTTTGATATTCAACTAGGTATCTGTTCCCCCTCTCCCCTCCCCCCCCCTATTATTATTGTTTTATTTGTTTTTGTCGGGGTTCCAAGATGTATAACCCCATTATGGCATAAAGTTTCAGACCGAATTTCATTCTTAATTTCTTCATTTACCATTCCCTTGCCACTGAGGGCTGGTTCCCATGACTCTGCTTTCTTGAACATTCTCTTAATCTTAGTTTCATTGAAAAATAATTCACTTTGAAAGTTCTTTTTTTGTTAATCGGAGCATCTTCATGTGCCTATCCTTTCGCTTTGTTGTTATACGATTGATGATTCAAATTTAGTTCATTGTGTCAGCATCTCATGATCAAGGCTAATGCAGCCATGGTATCATCTGTAGTAATCATTTATGCCATTTTCTGATCGATCGGGGCCTCGTGAGGTATTTATGGAGAATTAGATAACTAATTTTGAAACGGTTACTCCAACTTTATTCTTTCATTTTTGTAGCTATTTTTCGTTTCATATCTTTCTGTAACATAGCACTGCTCTGTCTAGATTGAATTATTATTATTATTATTATTACTCTTATTAGGCTTTCTTTGTAAGGACATTAGCTTATGCTATTTGGCCGTATATCCCGTCATGCAGTCCCCAATCTCGCCTTCATGCCTTATCTTGTGAGAATTAGTCTCTTCGCTGCTTTAGTTTTGCCTCTTCTGGCCAGTGGTGAGACCCTGGGCGAGTTCGCCGCGTCCTCGCCCAGCCTCACCGGATCCGAGTGGGCCTACCTCATTATTGCCGATACCGTCCTCCTGCTCTTTGCGGCGCTCTTCGCGGGGTTGACCTTAGCCCTCCTCGGGCTCGACACTCTTTCCCTTGAGATCATCGCCGACAGCGGCTCCGAACCGGATAAGACCTACGCGCGGAAGATCTTGCCGATTCGAAAACTTGGCAATCAGCTGCTGTTTACGCTGATCTTGGGCAATGTGATGGTGAACACACTCATCACACAAATCACGGATTCTCACATCAGTGGCTGGGTCGCCACCGTCATCGCGACAGCCCTTACCACGTTGGGGGGTGAAGTCATCCCACAGGCGCTCATGTCTGCTCATGCTCTCAAGGTTGGTTCTAAATCTGTCCCCATAGTGAAGTTGTTCGTTTTTCTTTTTTACCCAGTCTGCAAGCCGTTGAGCATGATGATGGATAAGCTTATCGGCACCGACCCTGGCCAAATCTATGAACGAAATGAGCTGAAAAAGCTCATGTTTATGCACGCGGCGCGGAGTACCGAGTCCGGTATTGGCGCTGGTGAGGCAGACCTGATGGTAGGGGCCATGGAGCTCTACGAGAAGACTGTGATGGAGGTCATGACCCCGATCAGCGAGGTGCTGATGCTTGAGGCGCACGAAAGGCTTAATGAGGAGCTTATCCAATTGATTTCCGACCGTGGCCACAGCCGAATTCCAGTCTACCAAACGAACAAGAACAATATCATCGGGGTCCTCTTTGCGAAGGATTTGTTGATGGCTAACCCGCAGGAGAACACCCGAATTTTGCTCCTTGTTAAATTTTACAATCGCCGCTGCCACATCGTGCCGTCGGATACGAAGCTCATTTCCATGCTCAAATACTTTCAGACCGGCAAGACGCACATTGCGCTGGTACAGGAGGTCCAGCAGCCCCCTCACGGCGACCCCTATTACGAAGTGAAGGGCCTCGTAACGCTGGAGGATATCATCGAGGAACTGATTCATAGTGAAATTTTCGACGAGTACGATTACGATCCCCGTCAACAGACATTCAGCCAAACGATTCCTAACTGTACAGTGAGTAATTTGCCGAAGCGTGTGCACATCGGCATCACCTCGAGGTGCAGCCGCCGGGTGCAGCTCAATCCGAATGAGCTGAGGGCGTCGGCACTTTTTCTGTGTGAATCCCTGCCCGAGCTCAAGATGGCAGACGTCGATGCGTTAACGAATGTGCTTAACAATTATTCAACAGTCTACCGCGTGCGAGCGCCAAAGGATGCTCGCGGCCTGGAGAGCGATGACAAGCAAAACGTGTGGCTCTATCGAGAAGGCGTGCCGTCGTCGGTGTTCACGTTGATCATCTCTGGGCGCGTTGAGATCTTCGCTGCGAAAGGAATCGTCTTGGAAATGGGAAGCTGGTCTCTGCTTGCCACAGATGCCCTCACAAATGATCAGTTTATTCCTTCCTTCGGCTGCCGCGTTGTACAAAACAGTACCCTGATGCAAATCACGCATGACGACTTTAAAGATATCCTGACATTTTGCAGTAAAGTCTTGATTGAGGGTTGTTCCCCTGAGACTCCGCGATCAGAATTCTCAGCGGTGTAGTTTTCTTTCAACTTCTGATGTTTTAGTGTGGTTATATTCCTACTGTTGACATGATTGTTCCTTTGTTGGTGTGTGAATGTGTCAGCATGTTAATGTATACGCAGCTACTACTATCACTATGAAAGCACTATTAAAAGGCGTTCGCAATAACTTGTGTATTCTGGTTTTCAGCGCGTCTTTTTTTCATTCGAATTAGACATATATTGGAATTCGTTTCTTAATGTATATCCTGCTTGTATAGCTGTTTCTTGTGGATCTTAATTTGGTTGAATTAATCGTGTGTCAAAAACATTTCGCTAACTTAGGGCCTTCGCTTTGAGGCTGATAAACATATTTACTTAGTGCTTTAGTAAATGAATCGCGTTTTCTATTTTATTCAATATATATATACATATACATATATATGTGTGTATATATGTATATATGTATTGATATCTATTAGTGCTTCTTTTTTTTTTCTGCGTCCGCATGGCTTTGATATATATACAAAGTTTACTTTTTAAAGTATGACGGTGTAGTGTAAGCAATTGAAATATCATAACTTTTTCCCCTTTACTATTTATCAGAGATCTGATTGATGGTTGAGTCTTCTGACGAGTTGGGGCCCGAAACCACTGCAGAAGTGGTGCAACGCTTAGCCGATATCGATGTGCTTCTTCGGGATGAAAAAACGTTTGGAGATGACGGGGCAGCACTGATGACCTATCTAAAGTCCAGCGAGGATATTGGTTCTGTGTTACAGAGAAATGATTTGGAGTTGCGCGAGCTTTCTGAGCTCTTCATTCATGACCATATCAGTCAAGCAGATCAGATTTGCAGTGTGTACAATGACTTTTCGAAATCCGAAGAGCAACTTGTGGATTTCGAGACTGCCATTGTAGCATTCCAACGGAAGTTGGAAAAGACGTCGGATGACATCGTTCTAATGCAGCAGCAAACAGATCGACTCGCGCGCAGCGTCACGCATCGCCAGCGCGTGAGTGAAAAAATCAACGAAGTTTGCAATGCCTTACAAGATTGTGACTCCTTTTGCGAGAAGATCGTGAACAATGATGTCGATCAGGATTATCTTACGGATCTGCGAGAACTTGAGAATTTGCTATCTTTTATCTCGAGCAAGGAGCTACAGGCGTCGGCTGTACAAAATGAAATTCGTCCCAAACTGACAGCTGCGGCACTCAAGGCAGGTAATAAACTGCAACGTTACCTCTCCAAACAAATTGTAGCTCTTGCCAGTAATCTCAACAACTTAGAGGGTAAGCAGCAGATTCTTGAGCAAAATGGTCACTTTGCCTATCGCTTTTTGCAGTCCTACAACGCGGCCGTTGCGGAGGAAATAGTCAAGCTCTACGTCAGTAACATGTCAGGGATGTATCGAAAGCAGCTTGAGACCCTTCTACGAGGATTTGCGGAAGCTTCCGAGCTTCGTGCACGCCCTCTTGATCCCATTGTGTTGTCGAGGGAGGTCACCGCAATCCTGTCGAACCACGATACGGGCTCGCCTGCAGGAAATCAGGTGGAGGCGCCGCCGTGGAATGGCTTTCCTGCCCGGACTTTGACGCCGAAAGAGCGTAGCGTTTCGCGGCGCCTCCTCAGCCTCACGAATATATTTGCGAAAGTCGACGCTCCTCACACGCTTCGCGAGGCTACATTCCATGATACCGTTGCTGTCGTGCGGTCGTTTGAGGTGCGGCACGGGCGGCTGCAAAGCTGCCCGGATAGCGCAGCGCTACTCGATCAGTGCGATTGCTGGGTTTGGCAGCTCGCAAAGTGCCTGCAGGCCTTGGTGAACGTCTGTATGGCGGAGTGTCGTTTCATCAGCAGCTTTTTCTCTCCGAGCGAGTCCGGGGGCGATGAGAACATTAACGACTGCGAGCGCCTTTCGCATGCCGTGTTAGATCCCACGATTCGCGCTGTTGAGTCCTCTATCAAGGAATACGCACCTCTAGTTCTAGACCGCACCGATGTGTTAGCGGCGCTTCGGTGCATCGATATCTTAAAGCAGTATTTGTGTACCATGCAGGATCCGATCCCACTTTTGATGCTGAGCGGCATGTTGGAGATGTCGAAGTCAATCTTCAAGAGTAATTTGCGCATCGCCCTTCACAACGATAGGGTAGCACTTGGGTACTTGTCTTCCATGAAGCTGCGACCCTTTCATCGGACTCCCACGCTAAACGCCGGGTCCTTGACAACACTTTTGTATGAGCAGGAATACGCCGCAACCCTTGGTCCTCAGCCCACTTTGTTCCGCGTTGGTGAGCTCCTAGGGCAGATGGAGCTTCTGAACACCGCCCCTTTTTTCCGCTTTTGCTTTGCCAAGGAGAATGCATGTGGGAGGACGTATGATACCCATGTCAGCGCTTTCATCGCTACATCCCTGAGCAACTTGCTTGATTTCATCGATCAATTGGCAAAACGACACCCCAGCATCTTATCCCGGAGTCTTTTCACCTGCTCTAATATTTTTTTCATCAATGACGTATGGCATACTCTCATCTCAGAATTCGAAGAAAAAGATTCGGCGAACTCGCACTACAATCCCGGCTCCCCTAATTGGCAATCGTCGGATGCCACATGTGTTGCCTCCACATGCAGTAATTCTGACGTGTTATTGGCAAGAGATGACGTATTACCTTGCTTTTCGGATTCAAAGAACGCTAAGCTCCTGAAAAGTCGTTTTGATAAGGCTTTGGAGGCGCTCGTGGCGGCATACGTAGAGAATCAAAAGAGTTTTGACTACTTTTTCAGCTTCGAGAGGGATATGGAGGCGGAGCTCGGCGAAGATTTTTTCTCCTCCGTTACCGATCAACATGGTGTCGCGTCGGGTAAGACTCCAGGAAAGATCACCTCTATCAACTTGTCTGCGGCTAGGACTCTCGAAGTAGCAACGGTGTTTCATGATAACTGGCATGATCAATTTTGTGAAGTGGTGGCAGATATTACACAAGCAATACAGTCCATCTTCGAAGGTGTTTCGCTTACAACGTATTCCCGATCAACCCCGCAATACCTTTGCAGTCAATTCATGCACTCTATATTACGCACATACTGTCACGCTGTGGTACGCGCCAACGATCGACTTTCAATTTTTGCGAGCAAATTCTACGCAAAAAACAATATTCAGTCAAAGCTCATTAGTAGCCCCGACCTCATGGATGAGATATATACGATCATTCGACATGATATGCAATAGACGGGAAGGAGTCACGTTTTAGAGGGAGGGGGGGGGGGTGTTGAACGAAAGACGATAGTGTAATATCCTATGTTGCATTATCAATATTTATATGTCCATCATTTGTGCTGGTCACTGCCATTTTTTGGTCATTCTTTTCTTTCTTAGAATTGCATTGTTATAGCTATTGAAATTTTTAATCAAATATACGGTTTTTTCTTGATCCGATGCTAATCTGATGGCTAGTCAGAAGCGAAAAAATGAGAAGCAATGACTACTTGAACCGCCACTAAACCAGAATTGATGCTTCTGTGGGGAAGCAAAGACATGTTATCGCATTCAAAAATAATAATTTCTGTTTATTTCAGAGCTTTCTAAGGTCTATATTGTCGTTTGGGGCGGTAATGAGCTTAGTTATTTTGTATGGGACGCAGACGGGCACGGCTGAGCAGGTTGCCTTTCGCGTTGCGCGTTTAGCTCTTAAGCGTGGAATCCCTAGAGTGCGTTGCCTGCCCGCGGACGAGGTTCCCGTGGAGAGGTGGTATGACATGACATATGAGTATGGGGACGAACCCTACTCTTGTGCGCTTTTTATTGTCTCCAATGCGAACCAAGGAGATGCACCCGAGAGCTTCCGAAAGTCATGGCTTCGCTTGCTTTCCGAGTCAGAGCCCTCCCTGAAGCTAAGGCGCCTTCGCTACGCCGTTTTTGGCTTGGGTGACTCCATCTATGCAAAGTTTAATTACACTGCTAAGCTGCTGCACAACCGGCTGCAGAGGTTAAACTGCGAGCCTTTGTTGTTAAGGGGCTTGGGCGATGAAAGCGACGCCAAGGGGATTGATGAAGCACTGCTGCCGTGGCTGATGAAGTTGTGGACTGCGCTGGGCTGCACGATTCTGCCGGGTGACGTTACCGAAAACCCTTTGGAAGCTCCTATATTTCCTCTTTACAAGGTCGTTCAAGTTTCGCGTCAGGGGGAGGTGGTGGAAGGCGATGCAGGAGGCGGATCTGCAGGCTCTTCACAGGAAGAAAGTGTTCTCCTCGATTCCTTTGCGTCAATGCCTCCGCATTCCACCTTCACGTGTGAAGTCATCTCGAATCAGCGCCTTACCGCGCCCGACCACTTCCAGGCGGTTCACCACATTGAGTTGAAGCCACATCTGCCCTCCCCTAACGTAGCTGGGGGCGATCTCGACGACGGCGGCCTCTGCTACGAAGTTGGCGACGCGTTAGGCGTTTATTGCCCTAACCGCCCTGCCATCGTGGAGGAGATGCTCCAACGGCTGAGGCTGAGTGGGGAGGAGGTACTCCACATCACGCCTGAGACCAGCCATGGTCTTATTCAGCAAAGTGCTCGTCCTTTTTTTCATCGTCCCATGACAAGCCGCGCCTTGCTCACCCATTACGTGGACTTGGAGGCGATTGTAAAGCACGAGTTTTTCTGGATGTTGTCGTTTTTTGTCGAAAAGCGTGTTCCATTTGAGGACAAATGCCACCCTCCGAGCTGCTTTGACGCAAGCAAGATGTGGAGTGCGAGTTCAAAATCTAAGGACGAGGTGGAAAGCGAAGCCGCCGAGCAAGTAGGCGAGGTGCGGGAGCGGCTCTTAGAGCTGGCTAACCCGTTGAATGTTGATGAGTACTTACAATACGCCCACCGAGAAAAGCGTAATATCTGCGAGGTATTGCACGACTTCAATATGCCAAACTCCATGACATGTGTGGAGCCTCCGTTAGCGTATGTATTGACGTTTTTGACTCCCATGCATCCGCGCTACTTTTCGTTATCCTCCTCGCCTGCGATGGACGGAAGGCAGAGGCTAAACCTAACCGTAGCTCAGCTCACCTGGCAGACGCCCATGAAGCGCCACCGCAGTGGGTTATGTAGTACGTATCTTGTAGAGTCGAAGGCTGCTGACAAGCTAACATGTGTGTTGTGGCAGGGAACGCTTTCGACCTCGCCAGTGCCGCATCCACTGCTTTGCATCGCGACGGGCACCGGTATCGCGCCAATCCGGAGTTTGATTCGACAATGTGCTGCAGCAGAGGATTTGGCATGGGCAGATACACCGATTTACCTATTTTTCGGGTGTCGAAACAAGGAAAAGGACTTTTTATATAACAACGAGTGGAAAGAGCTTTGGGAGTCGGGTAGGCTGCGTCAGTTGCATGTTATTCCGGCCTTTTCGCGGGATACGGCGAAAAAGGTTTATGTCCAACATCAGTTAGGCCAGCATGCGAAGCTCGTGAACACGCTTCTTCTCCATAAGGAGGCGATTGCTTACGTGTGCGGCAATGCCAAGCAGATGCCCAAGGACGTCCAGTCAACCTTAGAACATATCATCGCGACCTGTAGCTTTGACGGGGATGAGTTTAAAGCTGCACAAACGATAAAGGAAATCACAAAGTTGGGGCGCTACCAAGTGGATACGTGGTCGGCCTGATGGACGTCGCCCAACTTATGCGTTGCTATGTTGTTCGCTTTCCTTCCTTCCTCAATTATATACCAATTTGTCCCACTTTTTGTGCCTTTTAAAAAATTGTATATGTCTTGTTTCAACGACTACTAGCATTATTTGAAACGGTTTCAAACTTTTCATTGGTTACCATATTTTTCACCACTTTTAGTATTCTTAGCTTATGCATAAAATAAGGTTCAGTATTAGAGTGCAGTTTTTGACCATTCATTATTATTATTGCTATTATCATTTCTAACTTAGATGAGTCAGCAAGGCCAAAATGTTGCGGCTCAGATGATCACCTCCCTACAGCACGATAAGATCAATCTCCAGAAGCAGCTGACAAATGTCCAGCTCGAAAACCACGTCCTTCGGCGCCAGCTATACCATGTGAGCACCTTGCTTGATGTCGCCGTGAGCAAGTTGGGTAATTTAGGTGTTGCGCTGGATGCTCCGATTGACATCCGCGCCCTCTGTGCGGAGGCCGACAAGTACGCGAATACTTACGTCTCGCAATCGCAGATGGGCTCGGGTGAGGACGGGGGCTCGAAGATGGAGGCCCCACCCCAGCATTTCAGCAAGGCGCGTTTTCGACTTAAGACGGAGTTCCGCGAGCATAGCAAGTGTGTCCAGTGCTGCGCTTTTAGCGGAAGCAGCGACTCGCTCATCGTGACGGGCGGCTTGGATTGTCGGCTCATAGTACATGACTTCTTGAGCTTGGAAAAGGTGTGGGAGGTGGCGGCGCATGCGGAGAACATTTGCGATGTCGCGTGGTTTGAAGGGACGAAGAATATCCTTTCGGGGTCGTACGACGCGTCGGTGAAGTTGTGGGATCCGCGGAAGACCGAGGTGACGCCTCTCTACCAGCACAACGCGAACGGCTTCGTGCTTTCGGTTGCCTCGCTCGATAAGTCGTTCGTCTTCGCCTGCGCGGATGTCAAGCGATACACGTCGATCGTTGACGTGCGCGCGAACAAGTCCTTCTCGTGGGAGCATCCACATCGGGTCAACTCCCTTGTCTACGACAGCTCCGACGGGCATCTCCTCACGGGCCACAGCAACGGCACAATCGCGATTTGGGATATCCGCATGGCGGGGATCGTCCTGTCGTCAAGCAAGTCCACTCCTTCCGTGAAGGAATCCCTCGCGAACCCGTGTAGCTCACCGACTAGTCACCTCTCCGCGTCCTCCGGGGCCGAA